GAAGTCTTACAATTGAAAATATGCAAACATATAAAACAAGTTATCAAAGCAAACTTATTTCATATAATGGTAAATATTTATTGTTAATTGATTATTCTACTTATACAATATTATTTTAACAATCTTTTTTATAGATACTAAACTACAAGAACTAAAAATAAATGATTTAGAATCAGGAATAAATCGAATTGAAATTAATGAATAGGAATTATCATAAATGAATTTTAAACATTAAAAGTTTATTCGAATTTATAAATTATAATAAAATAGAAACAAAATGATCATTAGTTTAATTTGCATAATCGGATATGTGTGGCGGGACAAAGCCTCTAGTGGCTGTGGCTTATATGACATTAACAGCCCGTTAGTGTCCAAAGGACACTAGTTAGTGTCCAACGGACACTAGATAGTGTCCAACGGGCACTAGTCAGGACACTGAGACGTGTCTTCTAATTAATCAAAATGTATAAAAGCACAAGCTGTCTCCGTTAATAAAGACAATGAACCGAAAATAACTAATAAAGTTCATGTTTTCATAATTAAATAATGAATTGCCTTTCCTTAATATCCAACTATCATTGATACTCACGTCCCACTTGACTAAATGAAACGCTATCGTACCCAAACTAAAGTTACTGCTGGAGCTAAATCACGCATACACTGTGTGCTGCTTTCCAACAACATGTGTAGTTGTCTTATCAAAAATAAAAATTTAGCGTAAAAAAAATGCAATCTAATTTGTGCTATGTAATTTTATTGCCTTAGGAATTTTATGCGCTTTCTCTTTAGCAGCATTAAAATTCGTTAAAATGTTATTGTACGTATCTTCTTTCTAAATAATTTTGAATTGAAATTTCTATATAAATAATTTTAATAAGAAGGTCTATCCATTGTATTTGACAATAATTAAGTTTGTATGCCTTCAAAAATTAAAAATTAAAACAAATAACTTTCTTTCTTTTTTTTTTTTAAAAAAAAAAGAAAAAGTATAACAAACCACTTGTGCTTCCAAATGTCTCAATCCATTATCATTATTTCCTTCGGTATTTATGAAGCAGGTCTGCTCCTTCAGAAAATTTGTTTAACCTATAAAGACAGTAAGAGGGAATTGATTTTCGGAAAGACTTTTGTAACCAAATCTTAAGCATTTTGATATTTCCAGAGTTTAATAAAGGTGATAACTTTGCAATGGAGTGCATCAATGTCGTTTGGACTCAAATTTAGGACTATACAAAGGAAGCCATAGATTCAACTGTTAACAATTTAGAAATAAAATTCGATAGACTTGAGAGCTTTGGCGTATTCGCCTTGATTTATTGTTCGTTCTGCATCGCTAAATAACTGCTAGAGTAGCTTCTTTGGACAATTTGTCTTGTGTTGACATGTTAAATCTCGATTAACCCTTTCATAGCGAGCAGCGTTCAAGAAGAACAGTTCCTGGTTATACAAGATCACGTTTTTTAAGCCAATTAAAAACTATTACCCCCAAGAGCGATAATTAATTTTTAGCTCTAGAGATTATCAAAATCGTTTTTGACCTTCAAATAGCAAAAATTTTATCCTGAAAAAAATTTTTTATAACAAAGGCTACTCTAAAAAATAATAATGAATTTGTTTAATAAAAAAAAAACAAAAAACGATAATACTAACACTAATACGCTAATACGCATTAACTATTACATGAATACTATTATTCTCGCTCGAAAATTTTATTAAGAAGAAACATCATGGGAATAGTGCTCTCCGCTGCAAATAACGTGAGTCAGTGACGAAAGTACAGAGTATCGAAAAGCAAATCGTGGTTGATAAATGGGAAGTTATGCTATATATATTGATGTGCCATTTATATGATACCCAAAATTTTTTTCGCGTACAGTACGTATAGTATACCTGGTATAAAAAAACTTTTTTTGCAATTTTTGTCTTCGGAATACTTCGGCTGAACCTTGCTCGTGTTTTATGTTCATTTATAATTAGTGCTGCTAATCGGGATAATTCGTGTTAATAGATTTGATTGGTTACCGCTTCCCGGTATTGGCCTATATAAAATGATCGGCAAAAAATCTCGCGTACAGTACACATCACATATTCATTAATTTACAACATACATTCATAATTTACATTTCTCAATTTTTTCATTTCATTCGCATTATTGTTACTAATGCCCTCTTCTCTCTCTCTCTCTTTTTTTTTTTTTGGTGTCCGCGCGAGACGAAGCGACCTTAAATACACTGCAAAAACATTAGATAATGCCCACGCAAAAGTGCAGTGATCACAAAGGTGGATGCCCACGGGAAGGTGCAGTGATCCTTAGTCCCTCTTACTATTCACTTTAAGTGATGCCCACGCGAAGGTGCAGCGATCACAAAGGTGGATGCTCACGCGAAGGTGCAAGCGATCACAAAGGTGGATGCTCACGCGAAGGTGCAGCGATCACAAGGGTGGATGCTCACGCAAGGTGCAAGTCGTTTAGACTCACAAGCTATAGGCTTTCGCAGGAGTGGGGGGTGGGTTAGACACTATAAAGCCAGATAATAATCGGGCAGCGAAAGAAAGAAGCACTAAAGATATCTTTCCGCCAACTTACCATAAAATACCTAATCTGGTTACACATAATCAGAGATCATGGGTCATCCTCGCGATAATACCCCTCAATTGATTAAAATTGCTAGGGAGTTGAATAATATTATCTGATGACTGTTTAGCCATGTCTTTTCTACTTGTATTATAAATGAAGAAAATGTTTAATTGAAAAATTTTTTTTTAAATGTTAACCGTCTCACCGGCTTTACTTATTTGTTCCCGTAAAAAGGAGGTCTATATCAATTGCGTGACCAAGAACCAATGAGTTTGTAACTTTTATTAAATCGGAGCCATTTCCGAATTCAACTCTAATTAAAGGATAACGATAACTTAAACCGAATTTCATAAAGTTTAGCCAATCTGTATTGCGAGAAAAATATGACACATACCGCAAAACATATTAACATTATTCTCGACAAAGTCTTTCCAGTCTTGTTCAAAAAGCCTTCAAGTATTATAGTTGTCTTATTTAGTTTTAAACAGAACATACAGTGACTGTAGCTTTTCCACTAACACCGTATATAATAAAATAAATTTATTACAACTTTTTTAAAAAAAATATATATGCTTATTTGAATCAATTGCATACGTATACACCAAATTATTGACAAACATAACGACAATACAAATAGTACTGTATAATTAATTAATGTCCGAACTATGATGGTAGGAAAAATTACACTCCATTTTTATTAGATATATTTTAAAAAGATTATAGATACAAAAAGAAAGATATTATTTCTACATAAAAAGACACTACAAAGATATGATTACATTGATTTTACAGAATTTATCTATTATGTTATATTACGAAAAGCGTACCAAATTTCTTAGTAGAAAATCAATCACTCGTTATTTACACCAGTTCTTTTATCCGTACGGCGGGTAACCTTGACATCAAATTTCTTACTTCTTAACGAAGGAGTAATAAATTGCACAATTTGTAAATCCTCGCCTTCCCTGATAAAAAAATCAAAATTTCCTATCAAAGCACTTAAGATAATTCTTAATTCCATAATAGCAAAATTATTTCCTATACAAAATCTAGAACCACTACCAAAAGGATAATAAGCATCACTCCTTATTTTTGGATCCAAATCAAACCATCTTTCAGGCACAAATTCATCAACGTCTTGACCCCAAATTTGTTTTGATCGATGAATTCTCCATATTGATGCAGAAACTATAGTATCTTTTGGAATTAAATGATTTGAAATTATGGTATCTTCAGTAGTTTGTCTCATTATACCACCTAATGCTACTGGGAATAATCTTAATGTTTCATCTATTATAGCATTAAGATATTTGAGAGATTTTAAAATATTATGAGTTGGTAAAAATAAATCATCATCATGTTCGGTTGATATTACACGATTTTGTAATGTAGGAAATGCGGATTCTAACTCTGTTCTTAAATTTCTCAATTTTTCAGGATGAGAAAGTAACATAATAATTGCCATAATTATTGTGAATGCACTTGTATCGCTACCTCCTACTAAAAATTCCATAATTTGATCTTGTATCTCAAAATCACTCATTGTTTTACCGTCGGTTATGTCCACAGGTGCATCTGGTGAAGATTGCTTTAATGGGTTATGATTATTAAGTAAAATTTGTAAAATATCTATACGTGGCTTGTCCGTCTTTGAGTTTTGTTCTAAACGATTTTTTAAGATTTTTGAGATAAACTTAAATGAAATAATAAATGCCAAAGTTAGAACGATAGTTCATAATATTATTATGATTAATACA